CCTTTGGTGGATGCTTTTACTTTTGCCAACGCTGATATGGCTGACCTTCATTTGTCCTTACTTTTTAGCACTGCTGGCCATATTCAAAATTACCTTCGTATCCAGGTCCTTTTTTCAATTTTCCCTTGCATACACATAAATTACTCCAATTTTTCCGTCAAAATTAAAGTGCCTTTTTTCACCATTTTATATTTGGTCGCATATAGTTATTGTTGGGCTTAACTATCCCAAGTACACTCTTAACATGATGTGATATTGTCCGCTTTAGGCCAAGTCATCATTGTTTTCCTGCCTCACACAATTAAGAGATCCATATACCTTATATGTAGGCTCCCAATCTTTTCAGTTATATATCAATGTGTGACTTTGTTCGCACGCCCAATAATCTCCCCCTCGAACTAAGTTCCACGTGGTTCACTATCGCGATTCACAGGTCTCCCCCTTTGAACTAAGTTCCATGTGACCCATTGCTACGATCCACGGGTCAATTTCCGAAATTTACTGTGTGCTACTCGCATTGTTAGAGTATCATGATAATCAAAGCCCGCAACTAGCTTCTTCTTGTGTGCGCACTTTTCCGCAATCCCCATACTTCTACCACCGAACATGAGCTCTTATACTAGTTGTTGGACTAAACTAGATCAAATACACTTTTAACATGGTGTGATATTGTCCGCTTTAGGCTAAATCCGTACAGTTTTCCTCAAAAAGCTCCACACCATTAAAAGATTCATACACCTTATATGCAGGCTCCCAAACATTTCAGCTATCAATATAGTACTTTATTAGCACACCCAATCTCACTGTGCAAATATTTTTTAACACGATTAGTGTATAGAAATTAAACTCTTTTATTTTTGGCAGGATGATAATTTAAGCGGAGAAGCATCATCAACTGATAAAGCAACGAAGGAGTGTATGGAGGAGCTAGTGAAGATTGGTAAAGGCATCTTGCAGAAGCCTATTTCAAGGATGAATCTTGAAAGCTGCAAAAATGAAGCTGTAGAAAATGAAGGCACAAATGAACAAGCTCTTATCAGGTCTATAATTTATAATTCACAATCCAAAATTAAACCTTGAAATAATTAATGATTATAGCAACTTCAAATATTTATAGATAAATAACTTTGAGAATATTTAACTAATCAATTGTGTTGGATTCAATTTTGTGATTACCCTAACAGATTTGCAAAGATGCTTTCAGAGGAGAAGAGACTTCGCACTAAAAGGATGAAGGAGAAGAAGGTCTTTTCTAATGGAGATGCATGACCAAGTATAGAATAAGCAAAAATAAATTGTCGTTCTTCTAAGAGATGATTAATTTCTCGTTTAATGTATAATATATAGCGCCAACTGATTCCTATTATTCTTAGAGAGATTAAATTAATTCTCTCAATATCTCCCATTTGTCAAAGCAGTTGGATCTCTTAAATGTACATTTTAATTTCTCATTAATGTTGCTCATTGTATTTGTAAATCAACATCATCATTAAAGTTATATGGGCATCACTTGAATTAATAGCCAAGATAGTTATACCCACTTTATATTTTTCCCCTGTTTAGGGGGTGGCGGAGGCAGGATCTTCACGAATGGGGTTCAAATTTTTTTTTGTATCTAGTGGGAATTGAATTCACGACCTTATGTAGATTTTGAACCCCCTTGACCACTAAACTACACTTTAGAATTATGTTAAGGGGGTTCAAAACTTAATATATAAAAGTAAAAAATAAATTTTGCCTTATATATACAGTGTATTTTTTCGGCGAAGGGTTTTCGGCTGAACCCATTGTGCCCCTAAATCCGCCCCTATGTTCAGGTCTCCTCCTTTTTTCCCCCTTCTTAACCGTTTGATTTTTTTTTTTCTTTTGACAAATTTAGCTAAAACACTGTTATATTATTGAATTAGAGATATCCTATAGTAAAAGACACAACGCTAAAAACCTTATAAAGCCCCCGCATATTATTGTGTGGCTAAAGGACAACTCGACATTTTAACATAATATTATATAGAAAGAGATCTTAAAAATTTTAGACACGATAAAAGTACGTACTACTCCTAGAGTTTACTGTTATCTAACTAGCACAATGATTTCAAAATCAGTTTGTCACGACCCAAAAACCGATCCGGATATGATGGCGCCTATCGTGAAACTAGACCAGCCGACACAATTCTCGAATCAACCAATTTCCAATAAAAGTTGTTTTTCTACCATTTATAAACCAATATCTCATCAAGAAATTTAAAAGAAAAGTGTGGAATAATTACACAAGCCCGACATCAGGGTGTCACTAGCTAGTCATGAGCATCTACCAAGGTCTGAATACAACAAGAGTCTAAAAATGTACTAAATACAGT